TGGGAAGGGATGGGAAGGGTAAACAAAGGAGGAGGCTGCAATGCTTGGTAAGAAATGTACGCATTATCCTGCCCATGCAACTGTAACCCCTCTGTACAGTATATTCACAAATAAAATAAAATAAAATTAAAAAAAAAGAAATGTACTCATTACCTTACTTATATAACTAACCCCTCTGTCAGCACCTTTACAACAAAATAAAATTTAAAAAATTTAAAAAGATGTTAATAAGGTCAGTCTCCAAGACTATATAATAAATTATGTTGTTTTATGCAAAAACAAAGAGTCTCACAGACTTTCCTGCCTGCGCTGGCTTTGAACCCCAATCCTCAGATCTCAGCCTCTTGAGTAGCCAGGATTATAGTGCCCAACTTTTAGTTATTTTGAAATGTACAGCACAGCATCATGATCTATAGGCATTCTACTCCGCAATAGAACACAGAATTTATTTATCTTAAGTACATCTTGCTGCTCATTGACCAACATTTTCCCATCTCTTTTTTCCCCTTAAATCTCTCCTGCATCCTGGCAGTCGCTTCCCAACTTCTATAAGATATATTTTTTTCTTTTTCAGATTCTCCTTTACAATCATATATTTGTCTTTCTGTACCTGCCTTATCTGTCTTACCATTATGTCCAAGCCTATCTATGTTGTGACGAATAAAAGGATTTCACCCTTTTGTAGCTGTACACATTCCACATTTTCATTACCCATTCATTATTTGACAGAAATCTAAGTTGTTGCTATTTCTTGGTTAGTGTGACTAGTCAATAAACATTCAATAAACATTGACGTGCAGATATCTGTTCAACGTACTGATTGCAGCCAATTATTAAAAGCCATAAGTATATTTTCCACAACATAATAAAGCAAGAAATCAATAACACAAAAACAAGCAACTAGAATAAAACAACATAATCTGGAAAACAAGCAATGAAACAAAAAATTGAGAGAGAATTAAAAAAAACTCTTTGTGAAGCAAGTGAAAATGAAAATACAACATAGCAAAATCTATCTGATATAACAAAAGAATTACTGAAATGCAGATTTATAGTTACATTGTAAAAGTAGGAAGATACGAACAATCCATTATTGCACTTTAAAGAACTAGAAAAACAAGAGCGAATGAAACAAAAAATTAGCAGAAGGTAAGAGATAATAAAGATTAAAGAAGAAATTAATAAAACAGAGACTAAAACCAATACAGAATAATAATTGATTTTTTTCAAAGTAATGCACTCTAAGCTAGACCAAGTAACAAAAAGTAAGAGAAAAGATTCAAAATCAGAGACAAAAAGCAAATTTAATTGACATCACAGAAATATAAAAGATAAAAAAGAAACCCTATGATAAAAAAGAAATCCTATATACCGAGAAATTTGATCACTAAGAAAAAAATGGACAAATTCTGGGACATAAACATCTTGTCTAGAATGAATCATGAAGAAACACAAAACCTGAATGTTCAAATGATGACATATGAGATTCATTCAATAGTAAAGAATCTCCCAGAAAAGCCCAGGAACAGATGGTTCCACCGCTGAATCTTATTTGGAAAACTACTATCATCTTTTAAAATTTATTCTTAAAAGTTGAAGAGGAATGCTGCTGGTGACTCACACCTGGAATCCTAGCTACTCAGGAAGCTGAGATCTACGTGAAGCCAGCCCAGGCAGAAAGCCCATGAGACTCTTATCTCCTATTAACCACCAAAAAGCCAGAAGCGGAGCTGTATCTCAAGAGGAAGAATGCTAGTCTTGAGCAAAGAAGCTCAGGGACAGTGCACAGGCCCTGAGTTCAAGCTCCAGGACCTGGTTCTATACATACATATATGTATATATATACACATATATATACACACACATATACATATATATGTACTATATATTATATACATATGTGTGTGTATATATATATATATTGATTTAGCTAAGAGCTCTTTTTTTCAAAAAATCAATTGTTGTATGATATATATATATACACATATAGTATGTATGTGTGTGTGTGTGTGAGGAAAAAATTCTTCTAAACTCATTCTATGAGACCAGCACTACTCTGATACTAAAACCAAAGATACAGAGAACAAAAAGAAAAGCAACTGGTTAATATTTTTGGTAAATATAGCTGCAGAGATCTTTATCAAGGTGCTAGTAAACTAAGACCAATAGCAAATCCAAAGCGTTATTCACTGCAATCAAGCAGAATTCATTGCTGGATGCAATGTGTCAACATAAGCAAATCAATAAATGTGGTGCACCACGTCAGTATTACAAAAGATAAAAAAGAATCATAGATCATCTCATTTGATACAGAAAAAGCATTTGATTAAATTCAATATCCCTTCATGGTTAGAAACTCTGAACAAATTATTTATAGGAGGAATGTATCTCAACACAAGAAAGTCTATATTCATAACAAGACCCCAACTGAATGGGGAAAAGCTCAAAAGCTTTAGTACTAAACTCTGGATCAAGACAAGAATGGGCATTTGGAACTTTTATCCAACATAATACAGAAACATCTACTCAGAGCAATCAGGCAAAATAAAGAGATAAAAGTTCTTGAAGCTTATGAGGAGAAAGTTAAGATGTGAGTCCTCATTCAGTATTTACTGAATTGAACTGGTTTAGAGTTATTTAGAGAAAAGGCAGAACTTTAGCAGCTGCTCAAATCAATAGCAAAGACCGTATGCTCATATTGAGCGTATGCTCAATAATAACAGCTAATATTCTGTCTTAGGCGTTACACTGTTGAAATAAATGCATGCTGTCACATAAGTTGGCACACTAAGTACTATTAACACCTTAATTTAATGGATAAAGAAAAATGCCTCAAATCATGTAATTACTCAGCAGAAGAAATGATGAGATTCCTTACTTTTTTTTAACTGGAACCCAAGGTAAACACATACACAGTACAATAAACATAATTTGAAAACAAACTACCTTCACAGATCTGAAATGACCCCCTTCAATACATAACATTGCTGGATTTTCCAAGCTGCAAAATTTTCTCTGGGTAAAAGTTAGAACACTCAGTGCAAATTTTAGATTGAATATCTTTCCTACTTGTTTCTATGTTCTTTGACTTCTCCTGACTTACCAAGATGGCAGAGCGTTTTCCAAATAGATCCAGAACGCCAACTTTCTCCAAGCCTCGTCTTCTCCCTGACTATTGAGGAAGAATGGGATATAAACTATTTTCCTCTCTTGAGCCCTTGGCGGTCACACATTCTCCTTCACATGGCTGTAGAGGAAGGAAGCAATAATTGTTGATGCTGGTGTGTGCTTTTGTTTAAAGGAATTGGAATGAAATGTGCCTAAGGAAAAAAAAATGATTTCGATTTTATTTTATTTTATTTGGTGTGCAAAAATTTCATTATCTCCAAACCACAGGCACCAGAATGGTATCTGGCAAGGGAAACAAAGTGGGAGATGTAAGGAAAGAATAGATTAGGAGAAGCTTTGAAAGCAGGCAGCTGAGTTTAGATTTGATGTGGTTGGGAAATAGAGATCCCTTGAGGGTTTCGAGTATGGAAGTGACGTGATAGAACCCTTGATTAAGGGAAATGAAATACAAGCAGGACAAATTGAAGGGAAGGACTAAAACCTGAGTCGAGGCAGTGATCCAGACTCCAGGGAGCTGGAGAAGCGAAGGGACTTGCAGAAAGAGCTAGGCTTCTATATCAATTAACTAACACAGCCAGGTGCTGGCAGCTCATGCCTGTAATTCTATGCACTCAGGAGGCTGAAACCTAGAGCATCTCAGTAGTTCTAAGGCAGCAGGGAGAGAAGACCAAGATCCTTCATCTCCATTTGATCAACACAAAGTTAGACTGGTGATGTGGCTTACCTGGTAGAATAGCAGCTGGGAAGGAAAAAACTGAGCAAGATCATAAGGCTCTAATTTCAAGTAGTTCAAGCCCCAGCACTGACACACACACACACACACACGCACACACACACACACACAAATTAACCCATGCCCACCTCTAATTCACTTTGCTACCAAGTTACTAGCCAAGTTTTTTATGCTCTTACTGTACTTGAAGGAGCAAAAATAAAACACAAGGAGCTGAATATTGATAATAAAATTTCATTTCTGCCAGGCACTGGTGGCTCAGGCCTATAATCCTGGCTACTTAGAAGGCTACGATCACGGGATTGCAGTTCAAAGTCAACTTGAGGCTCTTATCTACAACGAACCAACAACAACAACAAGCCAGAAGTAGAGCTATGGATCAAGTGGTAGAGCACTAGCCTTTAGCACAAAAGCTCAGAGACAGTGCCCCGGCCCTAAGTTCAAACACCACTTCTAGTACTATTACTACTAATAATAATAATAAATTTCTGTGAGTTTTTTTTGGCTTAACCAAGTGCCCTACTGAGCAAAGGCACTTTATCATGAGCATGTATAAGTGTGCTGGGTAGAAATGCATTCCTGAAGAAGTTTCCATTAGGCCCTTAGTCAGAAAGATGAAGAGTGCCTATGATGGAAGAGAAATGGCCACCATGAAGTGTCTCAGCTCTAGCATAAGAGTCCTCCTCACTCACTGCTTCACAGGACTCTCAGAGTGACCTACCCAAGTCAGCTTCTGCCACACACAAGGTCACCCTGGGAGGCGATCTCCAGCACCAGTCCCTTAGCTGCATGTGCCCTGTGCCCATCACTTTCTGTAATCATGGGTGGAATTTCAAATAGTAAAGAGACTCAAAAGTTATTTCCATTCAAGTTTAGATCTGAAAAAGAGCCTGGAAAACATCCAAACCCATAGGTTATGAACGTCGTCAAGACGTACAAACATTTTTTTCCCCATTAAATCTCATGAACACTTAATGGCACAACGTTGAGATGGCTTTGTGGGGTGAAAGGCCCAACTACCCATTCTCTGTCCCTCCTCCCTTCTCCAACTTCCACACACTGTGGCAGAACCTAAGGCTCTCCCCATGACCCTGGGCTGCAGAGGAATACATTTATAAAGGATGTAATAATCTCTCTGTGTCTCTTTCTCTCTTGTTTGCTCTCTTTCCTTCCTCCCCTCCCCTTACCTCATTCTTCCTCCTTCTCCTTTCTTCTCCTTCCCTCTCCCTCCCTTGCTCACTCTCTCCTTTCTCCTTCCCTCTCCTTCTCTGTCTGTCTGTCTCTCTCTCTCTCTGTATGTATCTTCTTGTGACCAATGGAAAACAGAAGCCCAGATAGTTTAAAACAGCTTGCCTATTTTCAGCTACATAAAGGCACACTAAATGTTCTGGAGATCCACATTCTACAAATACATAGAATGATAAGTTCAACCATCAATTTAAATTCTTTAATAAGGTAAACTGAGCAATTGGAGAAATACAGACTAATCAGTTCAAATAGAACGGGCACAACCTATGAGCCACTTATTCCACATTCAGACATGCATTCCAGAACAATCTGTGCAAAGACTCATTTTAGAAAGTTGAAATTAGTATTTTGGGGGGAATGGGAGAGGATGAAGTAGGCTAGACTCAACTGGATTATAATTAAATAGAAAATTAAGGTATTATTTTGAGAAAGATTTATATATAAGTTTTAGTATGTTAGGACAAGAAAATATACAAGAATACTCTGCAGCATTGTTTATGAATACTGAAAAATTCGAAGTAAGTTGTGGTATAGTATCTTTACAATAAAAAATAAATGAAGTGACTTGTGCTTCTAACTGGAAAGGAAATAAATATATGATGACCTGTTCTTGATAAATTATTCCACAAAGTAGTTTCATTGAATGAATCCAAAACTAAATTGCTGAAGTCTAATGTGCAATTCAAAAAGGGCAGGTCACAAAGTAATATGAAAAGTATATTTGCCTTTATATCAAGTGTTAAGACAAGTTAGCATGTTGTAAATATGTATACAGACACAGTGTGAAAGGAAATTGAAGAAATGTTTGTCTGGGATAAGATGAATGGAAGAGAGTACTAAAAACAAATAAACAAACAAAACCCACAAAGCTGGGTGGGCACTGTTGTCTCATGTCTATTATCCTAGTTACTTAGGAAACTGAGATCATGGTTCAAAGCTAGCTGGGGCCGGAAAGTCCATGAGACTTTTATATCCCATTAAATATCAATCTGGAAGTGGAGCAGTGGCTCAAACTGGTGGAGCTGTACCCCTGAGCAAAAGAGCTCAGAGACAGTGGCCAGGCCTTGAGGTCAAGCTCATACAAAAACAAAAAACAACAACCAAAAACCCCACAGAACTTCTCTAAAGAATTCCTGCCAGAATGATAGGACAGCTCCAAATAAAATGATGACATGTGATGTGTTATTATCCTGTTTTTTGTTGTTGATTAATACATATTTTAAGTCACAGAAACTGACCTGAAGCCAAATAGTGGATTGCTGATCTTCCTGGAGTAAACATTCAGGGCAATATACTGTTAGATTCCAAGGGCAGGCTTCCTTCTCTGCTCCCAGCTCAGGGTCTATTTGCAAATGGCAGGATTTATATTATTTCAGTCCTAATTTTATTCACTTACCTGAGAGATAATTTTCTCCACAGTCTATCAAGGCCACATCTGCTCTGGCCAAAAATAGCACAAAGTACATAGGTAGTTCTGTGAAGGCCAAGCTGTTACTCTGCAGTTTGTCAACACGCTCTGTTTTCCTGCTTTGCTTTGAGCCTTGAAACAAAATATTAAGTCACATTTGGTAGAGAAATGATCTACATACCAGAAACTTGACAGAGTGGGAGAGAGACAAAGACACAAATAGAGAAAGACATTGAGATAGAGAAAAACAGAGACAGAAAGACACACAGAGAGGACAGAAGGAGGAGAACCATTTTTGAGTGTGAATATAGACAAACTCATGGAAAGCAAACATCAGAATAACACTGAGAAAAGGTAAGACAAGCACACATTTTATTTTAGCACTTGAAACAGTTGCATTTTGTGGCCTTTAATCTACTAGGAAAGGATTTGTTAACTTTTTCCCTCCTAGTCTTCTTTAAGATAAAAACAAGAGGACAAATATTTATAAGGACTGAAAAATCTTAACACTTATGGCGCTTTGGAAAAGTTCAGGGCTGTGGTTTATTACTGGCCCCTTTCATACTCTTCAAGTTATATAAGATGCTTGTTCCTCTGTTTCTTCTTTCAAACTAAGTAGTTCACCACAACCTTTAGGTCAGTGTCTGCTTTTTAGGTAGTCAAGCTAAGACATTCTGCTCTTGGAAGTGGGGAGGTTGGCAGAAAATTAAGATAACCCTGGAGGTCTAAGGTCCAGAGAGGATTAGTTGCTGGAGAAAATGACATGATTGTATCTTTTAGATACTTCCCACCTTGGAAAGCCCTCATATTGCCATGAATTATCATCATATTCTTTTTGTAGTGCTCCGGAAAACTCAGATCTGTGACAAATCCTGCAGTTGGATCAAGAGCAAACATAGCAGCTGGGTGGCTCACACCTATAATCCTAACACTATGGAGGCCGAGAGCTGAGGATTATGGTTTGAAACCAGCCAAGGAAGGAAAAGTTAATGAGATTCTTATCTCTAATTAGTCATCCAAAGGCTGGAAGTGGAGCTGTGGTTCAAGTGGTAAGGAACCAGCCCGAGGGAAAGAGCTAAAGACAGCACCTAGTCCTTGAATTCTGGCACACACAAATCAAGAACACAACAAAAGCAGACAGAAGAACCCAAGACAGCAAGAAAGGAAGTAGGAAAGGAGGGATAGAAGATGAAGGAAGGGAGGGAGGAAAGAAGGAAGGAAGGAAGCAAACAAGCAAGCAAAGGTAGCAGTCACTAATATGAATTGAATGCTTGCTCTTCTAAGTCTTCCCTCCTTTATTCCTTAGCACCTTCTCTGGTGGGTTCTGTTACCAGCCTCATTTCACAGATGCAAACCTGAGCACAGGATGGGTAGAAAACATATTTCAGATTTTCTAGAATAGGTGGTAGAACCAGAATTTAGATGTTAGCCAGTTTCTTCACACAACACTGACCTTTTAAGTGTCATGTGAAAGCCAAGGGATAATATTTAAAATAAGTGCCAACAGCTACTGAGATGACAAAGTATCGTGATGTTAGTAGCTGTGTGGCTCGGGCCTCCACTACAGATCTCTAGAGAGCATCCATAGGCCAGAGATAGTGAGAGTACATCACTAAATGTCAGAATCCCTTTACTAGTGTTCTTAGCAACCCAGAATATTGGATTCAGGGATGGAACAGAGGCTTCCAGGGATGGAACAGAGGCTCCTCTGTCTCCTGTCTTTTCTACGGTACAGCTAACCTTTTGCTATTCCACCAGCCTCTAGAGAATGAAAAAGGAGATAGACTCGGAAATGATATTCAGTTGAAGTCATAAACCGAAGTCTGATTCTAATATTGCTATTTACTAACTAAATGGACTTAACGTTCCTGGTCTCATTTTTCTTCTCTAGAAAGAGAAAACAAAGCTAGGCTCAGAAAGATAAAGGGCATATATTTTCTTCCATATGGTGATCTCAGATCTAAAATACAACCTCCCATGTAAAGGCACACGGAGGCATATCTCACGAAAGCTGACAAAAGCTTGGGATATACAGTAGCGAAACTGCACAGAGTCATCATTCCCAACAATTAACAGCTTAACAAAATGAACATAAAAAAGCTGAAACAAGATGGGAGGGGTGTTCATAAGAGAGGGATAGATGAAGGTAAAAGGAACAGGGGACACACACAGTCAAGGTACACACCTCAGTGTGTGTAGTAACTGGGAAATGTGAAATGAGTCTGTGGAGGAGGAAACAAGGAATGATAGAAGAGGGTTACTGGACAGGATGCACTGGACATGTAGATGTACACATTCCATTGTAACCCTCTTTACAGCCTTTTTGATGTTCAGGAAAAAGAGATTGTAATGATAAAACAAAAACAGATACCAAGCATCTCAACATGGGTGTGAAGAATTTTGATGATACGCCCTGTAGACAGATGAGGACCTTCTTGTTTCCTTCCATCAGTCCCTAAATGGCTTGTGAAAAACCCTGGTGGATCTTCGAGAGCCTTCCTTTGTACCACGATCACTCATCTGGGTCAGTTTTTTCTCTCCTTTTAAAACCCCCATCTAGAAGAGGATAACCACTAACTGTCCTAAACTGCCAATTCTGCCATTTTGTGTTTTGGGGTCCCAGGTCTAGGAATTAGGAGTTTTCTGCATGAGCTGTGGTACCTTTCACCTTCCAAAGGTGAGCAATCCTGATGTGCCACCAATCACAACTACACCCAGGTAGAATGACAACGGTTCTAACCCCTGCCAAGTTCAAGTGCTAGAGAAATGAGAACTAAGTTTCCTACCATTGCTGGATGCATATTGAACTTAGCAGGCATCCTCCTAGAAGTGTGTGTGTGTGTGTGTGTGTGTGTGTTGGGGGTTTGGGGGAGGTAATGACATTCCAACACCTTTGTTCTGGGTAATTCCAGATACATGAGGAATGCAAGACAGCATGACCTTTCAGAGAGGTTCTGGCCATGTGATCTCATATGACTGCCTCACTGATAAGTATCACTTGAAAATGATGCCCAGTGTGACCAGCTATGGCAGGCTGTGCGCCCCACAGGCTCTGAACTACATTCTGGCTCCCTGTGCTCAGCGTTGGTCTCTCCATGGGTGACTCACAGCATGAGACATGCCCACACGGCACTAGCTTGTGGTCTGGCAGTAGCTGTGTGCCAGCTGAGTGCTCTGCCAATCCCTCTCCATGCCAGGACAATCTCCATTCCAAAGGAAGCCAGCCCTGACGGCTCAGGTAAGAGCCAGTCCCCTGGAGAGCTGTGGCTGTGAACTGTTTGGATCCAGACAGACAGGAAGAAAGCGATCAGGTGCTCTAGTTTCATAGGACATTGGACAGATCACACCCCAACCATGCCCACCTCTGGGCTCTGACGGACTGTAGCAGATGACTGGAAAAATCCACTCTCCACAACACACGGCTGAGTCAACAACCTCAGGATCTGTCCTAAGGCCGGTGAGCTGCGTCACTAGGGAGATAAGCATGGGTGGTGTGTAGCCTCCAAAGTCCCCTTACAGTGGGACACCCATTAGTGATTCATTCTGTTAACTCCTTTAAGGACTCTGCGCCTGTCCTTCCCTTGTGCATGGCTTAATTCTTTGGCGTCACTCAGTTGACTTCCTCTGGCACTCAAGTCTCATCCAACTTCCAATGTCTTAGACCTTGCATGTATTCAGTCTCCCCCAACAAGTTAGCCACAAGGCTGTGTTAGACTCTTGACTTCAGGGGAGCCAATAACTCTGTCTTCATCAATCTTTTATCAGGACCTAGGAAATTGTCGGATAAATAGGGAATCAGTAAAAAAAAAAAATCAGTAGAGGTAAGTAGTTCCTTGACTGTACCTAAGAGAGGTAGGTGTGATCGGTGTCTCTCTGTGCTCTCTGGTAGTGTTGAGATGTCAAGCAAGCTTGTAGTCAGTTTTCATAAGGAAAACCAAAGCCTCCCCTGAATGCTAGTCAGTCAACTTTTGGCTTAGCATTGGGTTACATGACCAGTTCTATTGGCCATATGTGGTTTCCAGTACACCTTTTTCCTTTCTTAATGGAGGACTGAGACCATCAAACTTACAGCACCTGTGTCCTGGCATCCATGGTTTTTTTTGGTCCTGTCGTGGGGCCTGAACCCTGGACCTGGGCGCTGTCCCTCAGCTCTTCAGCTCAAGGCTAGCGCTCTACCATTTGAGCCACAGCATCACTTCCGGCTTTTTTTTTCTTTTTGCTTATGTGGTGCTGGGGAATCAAACCCAGGGCTTCATGCATACAAGGCAAGCACTCTACCACTGAGCCACCTTCTCAGCCCCCCATGTTTTTTCTACATAACTTTTTCACTTAGGAATGCCTTTGGTTGGAAGTAAAATAAAAAAAAGACAGTAATTACAACCTATTAAAGTATATGGTGATTCAAAAACAAATCCGTTATTTTTCTCAATAAGAACAAATCAGGAGGCATACGGTCCAGTCTTTGTGTGGTAGGTAGCTCAGCCATATGGGACCTTGGCTCCTTCTCTGTTGTGTTCTCTCTACTTAGTATATAGCGTATAGCTCTCATCTCATGCATGTTCCGAGAGAGCTGCTGCATCACCAAGTATCATGTGTTCATTCCAGTGAGAGTCTCAAACCCAGAGGGAGGCTGTGTTGGGCATTGATGGCCTGTGTGACACAGAAGGCTGTCACACCAACTAGTGCAACACAGCAATCGCTGAATGACACAACCAATTAAGCACCAAAATGCTGGAAGTAGACCTGTGGCTCACGCGGTAGAGCACTAGTTTTAAGGTGGAAAACTAGCCCAAGGACAGCAGTTCAAGCCTCAGGATTGGGACAAAAAGAAACCCAAAAAATTCTTTTCCAAAATTACAATTGAAATGCACAGAATCTAAGTTTTCAAAGCAGGTCCCTCGCGTGATTGTGTTTCTAAACCTTCTTGAGATGGCGTTTGAATTATTTCAATCCCATTTTAGGTTTAATTATCAGCCCTTTCTAGAGTCTTTTCTTTTCCTTTCTTTAAGCTAGCAAAGGGTACTTTCTGTTGTTTCAGACCAAAGGCTCTTTGTGTTGAGAGCGCCCACCTTCGAATATCTTGCATGGTGCAAGGCTCCCTGCACTGTTTCTACC